AGTAACCATCTCGGTTCAAGTGCTCAGTCAGATCTACGTTTTGCCCACAGCGAATTCGCGTTCATCCGCGACTCCATACTCCACAGCGGACGCCATGTCTCCCTCGTCGGCCTGCTCGCCCGAGGATCGAACAATAAACAGCTGCCTAAACATACACTTTCACAGGGGGGACAGCGCTGATCCAAGAAATCCGCGCGGAGCTCCAAAAGCTTAGGTTCGTGCCGCTCTCGTTTTTCAATACGAGGTCGACCTGAAGTCTCGACCCTTTCCCCAGGGCTGGTGTTTCATCCCGAGTCGTTTTTGATGGTCCCGAGGCCTGGCGATGGCATCTGTAGGCCGAACACGGTCAAAAACCGGCCGTCATCTGTTCTACGATGCGAGAATGTCTGCAGGAGCTCTGGAAGTCTGTCGTCGTCAAGAACACCTTCCTCGACATAGACGCGGAGCCGATGTACGACCGCCGCGCCCGCGCGTCGTCCACGCCCCCCGCACTGCTGCAGTGTGCGCCCAGCCGCCAAGGCAAGAGGGCGCCCTGCCAGGACTCGGGCAGTGCTCAGCGGGTGTCGTCACTAGGGGTTCACCACCACTGGAACTGGCAAACAACTGCTCATGATGAGGAACTGGTCCTGGGGGAAGAGAAGGCCCTGGCGCCCAGGAGCCGGTACCCTCAGGACCGAGGGTCACTGGGGGGATCACAACCATCTTGGAATCGAGGATCGAGGAGGAGCGGGGGCGATGATCGAGAACGTTTTGGATTTGATGTCGGCCGTTCTTGGGAGTCATGAGGGGGCTCGGGGAGGGGTCCAGGGCGGCTCGTTTCCTGGAGGAGTTGGCGACCCCCACCCCCCCTTGGCACTGCCTGGAGGACCTGGGCGACGCCGCCTCCACGGACGGCGGCGAGACGGCCTCGACTGGCGACGCGAGTTCGGTGGCGGGCGACCTCGAGTAGGCAGCTCCTCAGGGGCAACGTTAGGGGGGGGGAGAGGCTCAGGGGGGGATGCGTCGACCCCCAACCACCCAGTGATCGCCGAGAGGGGCCCGCCAGCCCACCCCGCCCAGGAGCGTGCGATTTCGCAAGCGGGGGCCTATCGCCAATCTATCGGCGACGCATGACCGACTCCAGGTTGGTGTCCCCGCCCCCCATAATCCCCCGAGTCTTAGTGGACCCTGGAAACGGCAGGGCCGTTTTTCACCGTTCCCGAAGAAGTTGTTTTTTGAAAACGGGACCCGGAACGGCAACAAAAACGGCTCCGGGATCGGAGTCGGAGCCACTACTGGAAAAAAACGGTGATGAAGCCAGCAAGCAGAACGGCGTCGGAGCTGGCAGCACAAGAAGCGACATAGCGGCACCGGCAACCAGAACGGCCCCGTCGTTTCTGGGGCCCACGAAGCCCTGAGCCCGCCCCTCCACCCCATCGTTCCCCCTCACCCTTCGCACACTTCGGAGGAGTGCCCATGGAGACCCTGGCGGCCCTCCCTGGAGCCGCTGGCTCGTGGTGCTGCGCTGCTGGGGCTGCTCGGATGTGCAGAGGCCTCTCGCTGCCGCGGCTGGAGCCGCCTCGAGAGGAGGGCCCGGCTGGGCCCAGCGCGGGCGGAGGAGGAGGAGGAGGAGGAGGAGGAGGAGGAGGAGGAGGAGGAGGAGGGAGGAGGAGGAGGAGGAGGAGGAGGAGGAGGGGGAGGGAGGAGGAAGGAGGAGGAGGAGGAGGAGGAGGAGGAGGAGGAGGAGGAGGAGGAGGAGGAGGAGGAGGAGGAGGAGGAGGAGGAGGAGAGGGGAGGAGGAGGAGGAGGAGGAGGAGGAAAAGATGGAGGAAGAGGAGATGGAGGAGGAGGAGGGAGGAGGCGGAGGGAGGAGGGAGGAGGAGGAGGGAGGAGGGGGAGGAGGGGGAGGAGGAGGAGGAGGAGGAGAGGAGGGAGGAGGAGGAGGAGGAGGAGGGGAGGTGGGAGGGTCGCCATGGTCTCCGCCGGCGCTCCTCCGAGCAGAGCTCCAGTGGTGAGGTCGGTGGTCTCCTGTGTGGTGTGCGGTGTGCGCTCCTGGCGGAGCCAGCGGCACACCGACACCGATCCGGGCCAGGCCAATCCTGATGGGCCAGTTCTCCACCACCACTACAATCGCCAGAACGAGGAACAATGGAGGATTGTGAGGTCCTCCTCGTTCTCCTCCTCCTCCTCCTTCTCCTCCTCCTCCTCCTCCGCCTCGTCCTCTTCCTCCTCCTCCTCCTCCTCCTCCTCCTCCTCCTCCTCCTCCTCCTCCCCTCTCCTATCTATGGTAGTGGTGGTGGGAAATCGGCCCATCAAATCCTGGACTCGGGATCGGTACATCCTTCGCTGCCAAGCTGGAAGGGCGCACAAGCCGATCCGGGGCCCAGGAGTGGCCTGGCCAGGAACGGTGTCGTGGTACAGCCGGCGCTCCCCATTGTTCGGAGCGCCTCGGATCTACCAGGCGCGCGCCAGCAGTCTGGAGTCGGCCTCCCTTTTGGCGCCACTGCCTTAAATGGTAGCGCGCGTGGTCTTCCTGAGAGGCAGGTCGGTTCTATGCCGTCGGAGCGTGTCGTGCCGACGCAGCGGCGACCCCAGTGCGGGCGCTCGAGGTCAAACGCCGCTGGTGGCCCGGAATCGACCGTCATTGAACGATCCGCGCCATCGGAGAGCCGCGATCGTTCAGGGTGGAATAGTCCACGCGGCATCAGAAGCCAACGCGCCAGTCTTCACGAGACGAACCCGCCGTAGGCAGGCGAGCTTAGTTAGTAGTAAATGTATATGTGGCTGGTTTCTCTGGTACCTGGAGAGCCAGCCGCCGTCTGTTCCGTTGATATGGCGAGGCAGGGTCATGGTAGCGGTGGATCATAGTGATCATCATCAGCATCATCACCATCATCATTACTGTCACCACCACCACCACCACCACCACCATCATCATCATCATCATCATCATCATCATCATCATCATCATCATCATCATCATCATCATCATCAAAGCCGCCACTGCACCTCAAGCAGCGCTGGCGCAGGCGGCTCCCCACCCGTCCCCTCGGCGCGCCGGCCTGGCCGCCGCGGGGGGCCCCGCCGAGCCCGCGGCGCAGTGCTGCGTCGGGCTCGCGGCCAGGGCGGCGGCCGCGGGGAGGGACAGGGCAGCTGCGCCCTTCCCCCCTCCTCCCCCCCCTCCCCCTCCGCATGCGCACGCACACGCCATGGCGCATCGTCTGCGGTTAGTGGGTTGGGACCCCTTCACCCTGAAGGGGGCGATCCGCGTGGAGGAGGTGTCCGACGCCTTCAGCAACACGCACGTGCTCCTCCTACCTGGAACCAAACTACGAGCCCGACCAGGACACACCCACACCCACGAAAAGACACACCGACACCTCTGGGTACATTTTGGGTGGGCCAGGGGGAGCATGACGAACGCGTCGGCAGGGTGCTCGATCGCACTCGCTTCCAGCAGGTTCAGGGCCAAATACATCATCATAATCAACACACACACACACACCCACGGAACTCCAGGGAAGAGGGGGATCCCTCGACGTCTTCCAGGGCAGCTTCAGGGCCAGGTTCATCGTCGGGTACTTCCCGCCGCGTCCCTCCGCTGCTGCACAGATCCGTCAATGTAAGGTTGATCACAAGCGCCTGCTTGACTGGGTCCTGGGGGAGGTTGACAGCACGCCGGCCAGGGTTGTGCCCGTGTTCTTCGGCGACCTCAACCGTAACCTTGGCCGCGAGAAAGGCCGAGTTAGTGACGGCCAAGCTGTGGGGCCTTACCAGGCGGCGGCGGAGAGCGACGTCGGCCAACTTCTACACCGACGGCTTGTAGATTACGAGCTATGCGTGGCCAATAGTTACTACAATCTCGGTTTTTCATTCTTCGGCAACGGAGGTGCGCGCTCACGGATTGACTATTTTATAATACCCCAGCCGTTGCTAAACAATGCCGCCCGTATGTTCATGTACTGGCGCAGCCATAGGAAACTACAGGTACTCCCGCATATGTTAGACCACATCCCGATGGCCATGGATGTCACTGTCACCGCTCCGCCGTCTCGTCGGGACAGGGGTCACTGTGTTTGGGACTAGGGGGTGATCGCGGCGGGCCTGCAGATCGGCCACTCTAGGAAAGAGTTGTTGTGTGACCTGCAAGAGGGGCTCCAGCGAGCAGCCCCCATCCTGGACACCATCATTGCCGATGACGACCCCACGCGACACGCAGCGGTAGTCAGCCACATTATACGCACCACGGCCGAGAAGCACTATTCAAAGCACAGCAGCACGCCACAATGGATCAAAGATGCACGCGTGGAACGCCCACACCTACTTCGGCAGCGCGCACGCCTACGCGAGCAGGGTGCACACGTTTGTTCAGACGAGATCAAAGAGCTCACGCGCCAGATTAAGCAGTTCCAGAGGTGGAAGAAGGATTGGTGGACGCACTCGATAGAGTCAGACTTACGAGAAGCGTGGACTAGGAGAGAGACGGCACGAGCAGCAGAGCTTGCACGACTACGCGCAGGTACACGCATGGGAGCACGCAGGCGCACGTACTTGGCACTTCCTGCTGCGCGCCCTCCCGCCTCCTCCATCTTGGCCGCCTTCTCTCGCCCTGGGGCAGAGGGAGGGTTATCAGCCGAAGCAGTCCATGACAGCATGTGGGTAAGGGATACACAAGCAGTCGAGAACCTCCTCGCCCCCCCCCCCCCTCCGACGTCTCCCCCATCGGCATGATCTGCGCGACCCCGACGAGCGAGGGCTATGCCCAGGCTCTGGATGATCTACGCTTCATAGGCGAGCGGATCTGGTTCGAACGGTATCGTCGACACAGCCCTCCCTGGTCGCGGCCCGTGGAAATATCCCAGATGATTTTCGATCCGACGACCCTCACGAAACCGACAGATCGACGAGTAGGTCCCGGTCATGATGATGCAGACTACCCCGTGCTTCAGAGGCCCTCAGAGAACCGTGGACTAGGATGGAACGATGCTCGTGTGAGGATCCGCCGCCCCGACGAGCGTAAGTTAGGAGCTATCTCTAATGAGGTCAAGGTGGAAGCACCTGCGGTCCTAGCATCGCTATTTGCACACGTTCGAGCTGCCAAGAGGGTGCCACGCCAGGCCGCGACGAGCCATGGCATACCCATTCCCAAGAGGGCGAAGCGACCGACGGGCGTTCCAATCCTGGACTGCACGGCATGTTTGCGAACGATACATTGTTTCTGCCCCTGGTGGAGATTATACCTACGTATAGACTCGACGGTTCATGGATCAACCTATGCTGCCCCTAGCTGGGCGCGCGGTGGAATCCGTCAGCGTCGCCGACAGGCATTGATGACCATTGTTAAAATACTTGCATGGAAACTTCGGCGATGTGCGAAACGCCTTCGGCACCGGCCACGCACAACGACTACTTGATGCGCAGGCAGACCGACACCCCTCGCGACACTTTGCACGCACGTTGGAACTGCGCCGCGCCGAGGCTGCCATACGTTTCGAGGCTGCGGACGAACCTATATGTGTTCGACCCACAGAAGAAGGCAGGATGGGCGACTCTAACGAGGCTGAACTGTTCATGGGAGCTTTTTATCTTCCCGTCCAGCGCTGGCACGAATCCTTAACCGAGGTCACGGGCCCCTTGTTTGACTCCGTCTGCCCGATTACCCACGCCGTCCAGGACCTGAGTCGCGGGGGCTTCATAGATGATTTGATCAAGGTCTTCATCATCCCCGAGGGGTCCCCCCAGCGCGCCCTCCTCCTAGATAAGCTGGACAACAACATCCTCAGTGGGGGGCTCCACCAGGATGGGTACGCTCAAAACGTAGCTGAACAAGATACCTTAGTACGCCTACGACGCGCCCGGGGCACTAAGACGACAGAACAGGCGATCAGCGGTGCCCCAGTTGTCAACATGATTCACCTTGGAGGCCTTATTAACGTCAACGGGTCCAACAATAGAGAGATCACAGAGAGCATACGTTCGGGCAATCTTGGGCGGTGTTCTCTGAGCAGTTTCTGGATAGCCCCTGGGCCCCTTCGCTGCAAGAGTCTGATTTTTCTATCCAGCGTGGCGGGGCGGGTCTGGTCGGGGCTCGAGTCGTGCGTTCTCCTAGAGAGTGAGACGCGACGCTTGGGCCGATCGCTGGCCTAGAAGATGCGCGCCCTCCTCCTAGGCCAGGCTCGCCAGGAACTGGATGATGGGGGGGCGCGTATCCCTCACCAACAAACAGGTCTTCGAGGAATTGGACATAGCCCCGACGGCGATCGAGCTGCTCATTCGACTTCTCGCGTGGTGTCAGTCGCTTATTGCTGACCCTGCACACCACGCACATTTCCTAGCTGCTATGTTTGGCCAACGTAAATTCGAACAGTCTGGATCTGATCCCGAATCGAAGTCAGCTCTCACGAGTCGCGGCCTTCTGCGCGATCACCCTGATGTTCATCCCTGGGCCCGTCAGTTTCGAGCAGACTTAGAAATTTTGCTGCGCCGCCAGATGGCGCCCGATCTGCGCGATTTGTGGCACCCGATGATCGTCGCCCGCCTGTTCCATGACCCCTCGATCAGCGAGCGTTTCCGCCGGTGCGACATGCGAGAGCTACGCGTGACATTCGTTGCCAAGGAATGGGCGCCGCCAGAATCCTCACCCATTTCCCACCGCCTCCCCCCATCCACTGTGATCGAGGAGGATTCGAACGAGGAGGAGACTGGGCTTGTCTGCGATATCGAGAACTGCGCCAAACGATTCCCGACCCTGCACCAACTTGCGATCCATCGGGTTCGAGGGCCCCAGGACACGGATGGCCCACGATCCTCGCGACCATCACCGTCGACAACAGGTGCCTGATGTGCAGCGCGACCTTCTTCTGTTGAACATGCGACGCGTCGTCACCGCAGATCGCGGCTCCAGGGGCGATGCCTTCCGAACTAACCCGTCGCCAGTATCAGTATGTCCCGAACGACCGTCGCCTCTGCCCCTGCTCCCGGGTGTCGAGGAACCCTAACTGTTGCGAGCCCTTCGAGACGGCAGAAGAGCTAAGGGCCCACGTGCGCGCCCGCGTCCCGCCGTCGCCATGCGGTTCAAACTGGATAAGGTTGTCAGCGCCGACCGCTCCGACACCGCGGTCCCGAGGCCCATCGGCCGCCCCAGCCGCGGGGCAGATTCACGAACGGCCAGCCCCGCGTCAGGCCTCCTTCGCGGGCGCCGCGGAGGCGCGGCGCGCTCTACAGCGGGCGCCCCACCACCTCCTACTTCCCGCTGCTGCACCAGCGGCGCCGGCTCAGCTTCGAGGCGCACGACGTCGACCTCAGCCTGACCCTGTACCACGGCTTCTACCACTTGAGCGAGGCCCACCTGGCCAACGGGCTGGCCTCCTCTCGCCTGCTGCAGCTGACCCACATCTACCTGGGCAGGGAGTGACAGCCACACCTACCTGGGCAACTCATGACGGCCGCGGCAGCCCGCTCCGAGAGCGGCGCAGCGGCGGGGAGCGGAGCCAACGCGAGCAGCGTGGCACCGCGAGCAGCTTGGCGCCTCCAGCCAGCGGCCTCATCGCGCCGCTCGCAGACTGGTGGGAACGGAAGCTCCGACAACGACAAGCAGCCGCACAAGAAGGTGAAGACGGGCGCCGAGGGCGCGATGGAGATCGAGGACCACGACATGGGCGTGGAGGACAATAACGCGACGAAGAAGGACGCAGGAACACCTCAGCGCAGGCGCCGAGGGGGCAAGCGCCATCGGCGCGGAGCCCACGCTGAGAAGACGTGGACCAACCGCGACAAGAACCTCCACCAGATGCTCAGCGTCATGGGCAAGCTGGTGCTCCAGACGAGCCGCCGAGCTCGTCTGGCCTTGGCGACGTCCGTCGACGCGGTCGCGCTCGCGACGACCAACAG